ATTAGGACATTAAAATAACCCATAACGTTTTAAGCATATCTGAAATGTTTTACTACCCATGACCTTATATGACTAATGATCTACTTAATTAGTAAGTAAAAATTTCCAAAAACATTTACATTCCCGTATTAAGCCGCGCGGTGTATAAATCTGGAGGAATTTTAAAATTAAAGTCTTAGCGTACTTCTGCCCCACTTTACATCGGCGTCTATACAAAGATTAATTTCTACTTAAAATGGTGATAAGAGAATATTTCTTAAAAGTTGTTCGTAAAAAATCAATTAACAGTTTCACGTCTTCATTAGGTGTTAAAAAAGTCGAAATATTTAAGTCCAACATAGCTGCATAATTAGAACAATCCGTCCTCAAAGATAAAAGCTTAATTATAGAATGTCGCTCCAGAAACGGTATTGTATGTGTAACGCAAGAATTTTTTAATTGCCCAAATTCCTACCAGGTAAGAAAAAATTGCAGTTTTAGCGCAACACTTTCCACATTGAAAGAAGTAATGATAGTCCTTTACTTCGAACTATACCATTGGGTCATAACACTCATAACCCACAAGGTCTCTGGTCCCTTTTTGCATCAAATACAAACCAATTTTTCATTATTAAAAAACGATAAACTTCAATTTGTCACCAAGGTGGTCGGTCGTTAGTCTAGACTTCTACAAAGTCGCGACAGTTTCCGTCACTACCTGTGATTTCTTTAATACCTGCTCCATTCATAAGCCTCTTGTAAAGTTTTACGATGACACGACGCAATTTTCGGTAGTAAACCTAAATTATAGAGAATCACGTTTATTTCTCTTAAATCTCGTCGCATTTTTGTTCGAGTATCTCTTTAACTGCGAAAGCAAAATAAAAACATTAAAGTTGTAACAGAAAATTAAGTTATCTAGATAAGTGAATTAAAATCAAATATCTGTTAGGGATAATAACAATGAAGCAGATGCAGCAATATAAACGTAATATAATAGAGACGAATGCAGATCCCCGATGAACTAGCGTACTTAATTGATCCCCGATGACTGGGGTTAGTGCGAAGCGTTTTGGTGGGAGTGAGAAAACCACCCCAACACTCACGAGTATTTAGTTACAAACCCAGGCTGATTAACATTCAAACTGTTTGCCGAAAATGAAACTGTACAATTTGTCCGAGTCAGTTTGTAAATGTTATTTTTGGATAAAGGAATATCGATTATTAATGAAACGGGAAACGCAAAGAAAGTTATTTCGTGGATTAATCCAGAACCAGAAGCGACAGTTAACTTAATCCTTAAAGAGAAGCGTTGATCGTTGCTGTAATCGCTGTCCATTTCCATTTCGTGTCCAATAAGTTACAGGACCCTGTTAAGAGAAATCCTATGCTTTTACGTGAAACACTTTTAAACCGCGCTAATGCTTCTTATGGAGAAAGTCGATTATCGACGTTACATTTCGTATGCTCACAGAAAATATTTACGGTGGAAAATCTGATGACCGCGAATTAGCGTAATGAAAATTACAGTCGCCGCTCATTTGCACGAGTGTTGCGTGCAACAAGTATTAAAGTATATATAAACATAGTAATTTATATCATCTGTGCAGTATGTAAAAGTAAACAGTTTTACTTAAATGTACCTACGGGTGGAAAAAAGAATCATTAGTTAGTAAATCATTTTATAAAGTATTATTGTTTGTTCAGGTGCGCTGAATTGTCTTCACATCAAATCATAGTCGTTGCCACTTCCTTGAAGCTAGCCACGAAAAATTGGCAACTCGAAAATCAGAAAATATGTTTGAATTTAATACACCTCATTTGTTTCGTGTGTACCTTTGCCGTTTTGCTCCCAATCTCGGAACGTATTTGAACCTCCACAAAATACAAAAATCCGTGCTACACCAGAAGGAAAAAAACTCTTCAAATTCCCAAAACCTTGTATCTTGATATCTGCAAAATTTAAGAAATATTTTTAGTAACAAAGGGCATGGGCTGCAAACAATGTCACTGTAGAAATTATTCATTTATTTAATATTCATAAAATTTTCAGTATTACCAATATATTGGATTATATTGATTTCTGAAGAAAAACGTTCGAATGTTTATTCGAAATCTTTCTTATCCTCTTGAGAATTTGGCAGTGCTCTTTTGGAACTCGACTTTTCAGAGACAGAAAAGGTACAATGGAAAGGTACATTAATCGTTAAGGTACTCAATACATTTCTGTTCTGGTGCTCTGATGCTGTGATGCTTCGGAAAACAATAAGGTGGATACCTTGAAACAGGTCCATTCGGTTATTTGCGAGCCGCATATTCGTCACGCTTTGTATGTTCGCCCGTACTCTCAACACGATAACCCAAAACGGCTACCCAAACGTATAATTTTTTAGGGGGGTCCCATATGAAATTTTTAAAAAATATGACATTTATCGAAGGTAAATCAAATTTTTTCAATAAAGTACCTAAAACAAATTATGTTACGGGGAAGGGGTGTTAACCTCTGCCTCAATCCAATCGACCGGCTTTATGGTTCAGCGCTGGGCTATAAATCCGGAGGTCGGGTGTTCGAACATGGGTTGAGGTGAATTTTTCATCTGTGGCAGAGATGGGCATTTCCTTAGATCAGTTTCGAGCATTCTGCCGACTACTCCGAATTAGGTTTTCCTGCAGTTTTCCTAATTCGTAAGGTAAATACCGGAGTAGTATAAAACAACTTAAGACCTTCTGCAGAGGCACCTCTAAAAAGCATTATGCGGGTCACTCTGTAATTTGGCGGAAACCTGTTGAGGGCCCAGAACAAGAGAGGGATAATAAATAAATAAATAAAATAAAAATTAGCCGCCTGTGCAATTTAGTTTCTTTCAAAAAAATTTCCAAAAACTGCCCTGGTGATCAAAAATATTTTGGAATTGCGGTAATTGCGTACAATTATGCTCTAAGACTTTTTTTGTATCTTTTATGGTAAAGAAATTGTGATCAGAGGGGTTTTAGATGCTACTCCCTGTATATAAAAACGGCAAATATGTTCCAAATATACTAAAGTACCATAACGGGGCTAAAAAGAAGCACGATTAAACAAAAATCGAGAATTTCCAAAAGCATGGGTATTGTAGCGAACATTCCAGAAACCTTGAGACATCGAGGCGCCATGAAAGATTAGCCATCGGCGAATGTAACGTAATCTTTCTTTCAAATATTACCTGTTTGTGCGAGAACCTTTGAATAGTCGGTTGCATTCGGAAACGCTCGAAATCTTTCGAGAAAGAGGACGCGTTTGCTATATAAGCAAGTCGAATTGTGTTTTAGTTCTTCTGCATGGTCAAGGGGAGCTTATTTTTTTAAACGACAACCGCTAGATTTCATTAGATATATAGATATATTAGATATAGCAGTATAAAAAACTTATTACGTGGCATAATCAAATTTAAGAGAAAAACCCAAATTAAGGAAAATTGTTGTCTTAATTTATTTAACTTTTTTGATGGTAAGCACTACTAATCCAAAGTAGTAAAATTATGAAATTAATTACCAAACTATTGTCCTTAAGTTGATTATGTAATATGTAGTTTTTATGCTGGTACTATATACTTTAAAAATAAATACCTAATAAAGCTAGTGGTTACTATATTGTGTGATCAAAACTCTCTAAATTACTAATAAAAACATATGCCCTCTTTGATCATGCAGAAGTACGCTACTGACCACAAACTTAAAGTACGTAGATTGGTAGCAAAATTTTTATAATTTTGGGTACCATAAAAAACTTTTTTTTAATGTTTTGATGATATAATTAGTGTTCCAGACAAAATTTTGACTCTGTAAACACTGTGTCCAAAATAAGGATTGTCTATCATGAGGATTTCCGAAACCATAGAAAATACGAGCATGCTCAAATTAGGGAAAATTTGCGCAATTAAGTAGTTATTATCATGCTTTCAAGAAACCAGAAAATTGTCATTACATGTTTCCGAAGATATGCCAGAAATAAACCGACATTTGCCGTTTTGGTTTTGATTTTGCCTCATGATATTTTGTACTAATACAAAAAAAATAAACATACTTTCTGACTGCCACTTTTTGACCTCTACCAGGAAACATTTTCAATGCAACGTTTTGTTTTGGAGAAATCATCCACTCTATTTTTTTATATGGCCCGTAAAAGAGTACATACTGTATTGAGTAACATTTTGTATTTCGAATACAACGATATATCGCCCACAAAATGAACATAAGTTGGCAACTCTGGTGGTTTCAACAGGATAGTGCACCCGTGCCGTATTTGTAATAAAAAATGTTACTCAATACAGTATATATTTTTTATGGGCTAATAATATAAAGTTGATGATAATTTCTCCGAAACGAAACGTTGTATTGAAAATCCCTCAATGGTCTTATAGAGCTCAAAAGGGGGTAATGAGAAAGTGTTTTTTTTTTCGCCAGGACAGTTGCTACCCCGTTTTCGAACCCCACCATGAGGATACCATGTTGGTTAAAATGGGACCAAAGTTGATAAAATGTAAATGAATTTTAAAATGAAAGCTTTCTTGGAAGTAACTAATTCTATATTTTTATAAGAAACTAGACTTTCCCCCGCGACTTCGTACGCTCGATATTGACGGATATATGATAACTGAAATCCATTGCACATAACATCAAAATGTAAAAACATCGGCACGCTACGACGCAAGCACATGTGTCGATCGGTAGTGAGATAGCAGAGTGCGACATCAACGAAAAAGACGTTTTTAAAAAGTCCTATAATCCGATCGAGCGCAATTATGAATTTAAAGTTAAACTATCCGGGGACACTTCGAGCTAATGCGATTTAATTAATCACTAGTGTAACAGTCCATTTTAGGAAGTTAATTCATTTTAATAAAAACATCAAATAATGTAAAGTATTACAAATAAATGCAATATCAGTACAATTCTTGTTGGCCTTGTCTGAGCGATATGCGTGTTTTCTTGGGAAATTTTGGACATTATTCCGATTGATTTTGGCGTGCGAACTTGTACCACTGCAGTAGAGTGTTGCTAAAAATATAGATTATTAGTTTTTTTAATCGTATCCGTAAAAGGGATTAAATAGCACCTTTACGTTTTTTGGATTGCTGTTTTGAAGCAAATTTATTCCATTGCCCATTTTGGGGATTATTCAGTTGTACGACATCCGTTTCTTTGCGCTGCTAAAAGAAAAGCTTAAGATCATTAATTGGATATTGTAGAAAAGAAAACGATTTACTTACCATCCAAATTACGTGTGAAACCCTCTGAATTGAGGTAAGCGAAATTGCCAATTTAATAATATAATTTTATTTTAACCATAACTTTATAGGGTTTTTTTTGTATACGTATACAAAAGTACCGCCAACTGTACGAGACCAGTATCGTCACCATTACGTTTAATTTCTTCCGATTTTTCAGAGTCATCCGATTGTTCCAGTTCTCCGTCTTCTTCGCACCAGACCCGCATTCTTCGTGCCAAGAGCTAAGATTTATGTTTTGTGTTTGTCTAAGATAACCTTTCCCATGTTTTGATTTACGTCAATTTAAAACCCGAACTTAACAACTGCCTTTCGGCGCAATTATACTAATTGTAAAACCAATCATATGGCCAGATGTGCGGGGTATTATGCAACTTGCTTGTTTAAGTACCGAATACTGAATCCGATATTTAATTTTCCTTTTATGTGAAAGCAAGTAGATAATTAAAAAGCTTTTGTTTGCAATTTTTCTTCCTTTATTTTGCTAGTGACGGAAACTTTTATCTTGCTCTATAAATAACTTTCTTTTATTTATGCCAAATGAGAACCTAATGAAATTATCCCACCTCCTGAGATTTTTATCGTGGCACTAGGGCGGACCTAAGCTTTGAACCTTTAGCGATTTTTCCATGAATATAAACTGAACTGCGGTTTATCTCAAAGGTACTCATAATTGATTGTCGCATTCGTAAATCACCGTATTTTGCCTTATCAACAATATATACCGACACTGAATTGAATTTTATTTTCTCAAGTCTTTTTCGCGACGTTCTTGCATAAAAGATCTTTCATTTTCATTTTAAGTAAATGAAACACAGCCATTTATTTTACCCTATGATTTATTCTCGTTGTGAGGCATCCAATTGAATTACTAAAGGGTATAATTAAAATGTATGTTATTCTTGTGGACAATTTATATTTATTATACAGCGTTCAGTTTAAAATTTGTAGACGGTCAGTAGATATGTTAATTAATGCACGAAACACCGCACACCCGATTGAAATATTTTATAAATTTCCTTTATGGTAACGAAAACTGTACGAAAAAAATAACAACAAAGACCCTTTCAACCCTTGTCAATTGAAAATGGGGGAATCGTAAAGGTTGCTGCTAAAATCATGTCACTTTTACGATGTTAGAGGTTACTTGATCATTTTATGTTGTCTAGATGGGGTAGGTATTTTTTAACACTCGAAGCAATATCAAATAAAACCAAATCGGTCTTGTAAATATTTACGGCTAAAAACATAATAAAAATCTTTGTACTCGAATAACTATAATTTACAAACAGGATATCACCAATTCAACTATAAAAGTTGCACGCAAGAAAAACTCAGATCGGCAACTTAAAACAAAGAATCGAGGACCACGATTTAAAAAAAATGTCATTTCGTGTCAAATTATAGGTTGCGTTTAGTTTCTAAACTTTAATCATACGTAAAGATATCAATTGTGCGGTCGATTTTTTCTGATTCGCTTTTAGGATCACACGACTTTGATAGCGCAATTAGAACTGCATGCTGAATAGGAAAAAAATCACTTGCTATTATTTACGTTATTGTGGTTAGGCCTTTTCGAATTATTATAATGCTTATTTATATTCGGCGCCTGCACTTTTCTACCCAAATGCTATGTTTGTATCATTTGTGTTGACTAAGTCACATTTATTGGAAACATCCGCATTAATAGATGGTATCAAATGAAGAAGGGTTGCGCTGCGGTTGAAGTTCCGGATCTATTGGTATTTATAAAACTGCAATTCCTATAGCCTACATTGTCACGTAGCAACTTGGGGATGGTGCGTATTTTTTACCTGCAATAATTAGGTACCTACTTACGGCACGGATGAAATGGGTGATTCATGTGAGCTCTGAATTGATGACAACGATACCAAGAAATCTGAGTGCCAGGTCATTTAGGAGAGAGTGAATTAAATTATTGTTCCATTTATTCACAATAACTTATGATTATAGGATTTATTTATGAACAAATTCTCTACAGAAGGAAATGGTTCGGCAAGAGTTAGGACATATTTTGGGACCAGTTTTGTATGCGCTTTATACAACTACACGAAGATGTGCAGATACAGTTTGTGATTACTGACTAGGCAGCATTTAAATAGTTGAATTTATATAAATTAATGAAATTAAATTGGCAAGACAAGACAAGGTACTTTTCATGCTCTTCACATTAACTGTGAAAGGTTACCTTACTCTTCATTGTATTATTCTCGGCTCGCTTGGCGCAGCGCAAAAGCTTCCGGAATAGATTCACACTTGACTATTCACTGGTGTAATTTAAAAATAGCGTGTATAAATGGTGGCGGTTTGGGTTATTCTTGCAGATTTTTAAGTGAAATGATATTAAATTGAGTGAATTTAGTTTATCCTACCATTTTTGAGACTTGAAAATATAACCTCTTAATCCTATCCTACTTGAAAGGCATTTTTTTCGAAGCTGTCTTAGATCATTATTTACACTATGCTTGAATTAACAATTAACTTAATTTTCTAATTACAAATAAAGATCACAATGTATCATTCGAACGCACTCGTACAACTGTGCAACTACTCGCCGACATTCCCTTACGGCGATTATGCTAAGTATTCGTGGCATAATTACACTGACCACAAATTAAACAATCCGTATGTTTCGACGTGTCGTGCTTTAATAAATTTAAATTTTTCTTACTGTTTGTGGCATACCTAATCGCACGTAACTTCCTTCAATGTGAATATGCCGCTTCAAGTTAGGCTTAAATTCTGGAAAAGTTTTAAACTATCCTTGCTGTAATCACAAATGAAATGTTTGTAAGTGTATTTACTTTTACAGCCGTACAAACTACAATAGTGATTACTTTTGGCTGTTGTAAATAAACAAAATGGCGGTCTTATCCCGTCTTTTTGTAAGAAATTCCAAATTTTGTTCGTTCAGACGGTTAGTGCAAATTCAACTTGAAAAATGTCATCAGGTGAAAATTTTATCGCGAGTGAAACATAAAACCGATTTTACACGGGAATACTGTATGCGAGATACTGCATTTGAGATACAGTGTGCCGACAGAATTTGTGTCAAATAGACTTCGCAGACCTGGGCATTCTAAACTGCTCTTTCACAGTAAGGTATTTTCAGTGCAGTGGCGGGCTAATCAAAAAGTATCCTGGTGTAAACAGTTCCATATGAAATTACCACTGATGCCATAAAAACAAAGCTGCGTCATATGGAGTTCGACACCAAAGGTGGCAGCAGTAGTGCTTTTTCGAGCTATGTTCAAAGGGTACTCTTTGCTATGTTACTCTCTCAAACGCAAAACCTTAACGGACACCTTAATTTTCTGCCCTCAAAAACTTGGCGCCCCTGGTGGGTTTTCAGTAAACCGACGGGGCAGAAAGCCAATAGATATGTTCCATTTAACAGGATTCATATAGGGTAAGGTGGCGTAAGTGTTCTCGTAAAAGAAGATTTCTGTTATCATGATAATTCTAGAATGCATTTTGTAATAAAAAATTTGTCCATACATTTAAAACGGTAAACTCGAATCTCCATGTGTTGACACAGATGAATTAATAGGATTTTTCAAGATCTTTTATTTGATGTGCCACACGAGATGCCGTACAAATTAGAATTTTAATGTTGGAGATAAAGTGAGTAGAAGAAAAACAAATGAAGATGCGCCACCCTGTATAGGTATTACGATTACATCTGCACGTGGGCAGGTTATATAATATTATTTTTATTTGTTACTCAGTTGTAAACGTTGATTAACAAGACAAAACGCAAACGGGTAAACGTCATTTAAACGCTACTGACTTGTAAAACTGACAGCTGACCTGTAAAAATTTTACAAGTTAGTAATCTAGCAATTTCATTGGCCAGAATTAATGCGAAGTCTCTGTTACATGGATAACATGATATTTTAGACATTTCTTCGGAATCAATTTAAGAACTAGTTATTTACGTTTACTATTGTTTACAAATGAGTAACAAATAAAATATTGTACATTATACGCCAGGTAATAGTTTTTACTGGCTCTAGGAAATGACAGGCTCGCCTGACGACTCGCCAGTCAACTTCTCCTATCGCCAGTAAAAACTCACTTACCTGGCTAATAATGTAAAATACTATTTCACTACTAGCGTCTGATTATTATCCTTTTTTCCACTTGTAAAGTAGGCTTTCTCGGTAGTTGTTCAAAGTGGTTAATAATGTGCCGATTGTTAATATAAAAATGAGCTAGCACCACTTTGAAACCGAGTACACGGGTATATACGAGTATAACTCGCTTTTATGTCTTCTGATGAATTTTTTAGGCAATTCCCTACGATTATGGAGGATTTTCTGGAGATAGAGGGGTAGGCTATTGAATGATCGCGATGCCGTCTTACATACCATTTTCTCGTCTATACAAAAGGTCACCACGTCTTCATATGCAATTTTTAATTTAAAATGGAGCTCGCCAGCGCCACTTTGGAACCACGGGTACGTCAAATACCTTCCACTTCTATGGCTTCTAATGAATTTTTTTTAGAGGAAATGCCAGTGAATGGTTTTCAAGTTTTTAAAAAAGGTTACCAAGTTTTCATACGTGATTCTCAATTCAAAATTGAATTCACCAGTACCTGCATTTCGCTACCCAATATTTGTGAAAATGGAGTAGTATCCATCCAGCGAACGACGGTGATTTTGATATCATCGAATAAAAATACACTTCTGACGGTGAGTAAATTTATTAAAGACGAGTGCATCTTAACTCATAATTTATTGATAATGTAGCATGCTACCAACATATTTTTATTGTTTTAGGGCCATTCTGTGGAGGGCTACAGCGAAAGGTGCAGTAAGGAAACCACGCCCATCTGTAGGGGTCTGAAACATACAAGTCAGTTGTGGGTTCAATCATCAGTACAACTAATTTCCTTCGTGCCAAAGTCAAAGTAGTAAGTAACAAATTAGAAAAATTCACAAAATTCAAAAAAAGCCAATTTTCATAAAAATTCATAAAACTGAAAAAATTTAAAAAATCAAAAAATTCAAAAAATAAAATAATATTTATAAGAAATTCAAAAAATGAAAAAAATTCTTGATGCAAAGGAATGTGAACAAAATTTTTTTTAAATCCATACGAGAATTAAAGGAACTGAGCCAACTTGTTGCTTTTTTCCGATCTACGGTCTAAAGTTCTACTTAAATCGGTACTATTTTGAATTAATTGTGGGAGGCGAGATAAAGGCTTTAGTGAGTTTTTGGACTTTTGATGTGTCCGTTCAATACTGAACATTTTTTCCTTTGATGTAATTGTCAAATATATAAATTCCTGTCGTTTTCGATTCAGACCCGTTGTTTTTTGTATGGATTTCTCTCTCCCTAGTAGGTACATAACCATGTAACCATTATACTCATACTTATCTTTTGCTAAAAACTACCACTTGTTTTAAAAAATCTTAATTGTGTTACCAACCAACCTATTATTCAAATATGATCCTTAAGAAGTAGGAATTGAGATGTAACATTTTTAATCTCTCAAAAAATTAAAGCCGCGCCCTAGAACTAAGTTCTCTACCCTCAGGACAATATGGATTCCTTTGGTATATTTGGAACCTTTTCTTCTTAGTACCTACTTTCCAACCAATTCTCTCTTTCATTAGGGATTACGTTTTGTATCCTTATTCTAATATTCGCATACATGGTAACATGGTCCAATTCATAATGGTAATGAAAATCTCATAAAAAGAACCCTGCTTGAAAGTTGGGAAAAATTCAAATGGAAAAACTTTCGTTAAATAAACTCGTTTGAGTGTGCAGTTTTAAATATTTGTTTAAAATGGGCCGTCAAAACTTTCCTAAACTCAACCAAGTTATACATTTCCAAACTGCTCCAAATCAAATTAATAAGCGTTTTTTTTAATTTATCGAAACGAGTAAAACTAAACTTTTTTCTGAACGTAATAAAAATTTCACATGAGTACACCTACAGTTAGATTAAATGACAGAAAATGAATTAAAGTTTCTATTTGACAGACGTTCGTTAATGCTGCATAAGCATTTTTGTCATACGTATTGAAATTTCAATTGAATTTTTCATCAAACAATGGAAATTGTGCGTCTACTTTCGTATTTAATCAATAGACGTCACGATTGATTAGTTTGACTTGATGTATTTTAAAATTGGTGCAGAAAAATTAATTTTGTTGTTTTGAATAAAGGTACTCAAATTCACAAAGTAAATTAAAATACAACGGCAATTTGATCATTTTATCTGCAACAGAATCGGGCGATAACCACACATCGTTGGGGATAACAATTGGATTAGCTGTTTAACGTCAGCTTTGAGTAATGGTTGGTAACCCTGTTCCCCTTCTGTATCCACTGACTTGCTGCTGATTAAAATGTAATCTAATATACCTACCCGAAAATATACTACACACCAAGCGAATATTATTTGCGATGCTTAAAATAGTTCTTTACGACCTTCACCCTTCATTCCTTCCAGCCCCAATCAAATGTATATACGCGAGGATAGGGAAAAGTGGAAACTTCGAATGATAAAAATGCCGTGCCTACATAAATATGGCAACCTCAATTTATCATTATCTGAAAACGTTTTTATAATAAATTACCCGTTTAGCGAAATATTCGAGCGCAGAAGGAGCCGCTAATTAAACAAATTAATGATTGTATCGTACATTGTATTTACCTTAATGTAGTATTCTTGTGCTTACAGTAATTACTTAACGTATCTACAATTATTTAATTTATTATACATATAGATCACACTACTTTTCTGTAAGTACAGCGTTATTAATATCAATTATTTAATTATAAATACAGCAATTCTCAGTACGGCCTCTTCAGTTATCAGATTTTACACGGAATCAACGAAAAAGCAAAGTTCGTGTCTTGTTTCTTTAATATGCTATAATTATTGCACTTATTATTTTAAGTACGGCCACTATTTACAGAATTAAGTCGGTTTAATAGTCACAGCAAAAATACGTCCTTAATAGAACGGCGATGCGGTTCTAACATATTGATTCGGCTAATGCGGGTTGAGGTGTGTTATAAGGACCTGCCCAGGGCTGTAAATTTTGCAAGGCGCTAAGGGCCGTATCGCCGGGACCCGTCGAGGATGGCGGCGCTTCTGGCATGTATCCTTTGCTGAGGGCTTCAGCCTGAAGTGACAGCATTAATCGATTCGCTGCTTGCCGCTCGGCCTCTCGTTCTTCCGCCGTTTGTCTCCTGTAACAAAAATCGTTATTAGTATATGGTTAAGATTAGATGTGGCAAGGCGTTTTTGATTTTGGTACAGAACAACGGAACCAGTATCGATATAATGGAACTAATTTGGACGATGTGACTAAAAGCTCATGCAGAACACATACTTAGGTACACCTAGAAATAGAAAGCCTATTAGTAGGTAATAAGATTTTGAATTTTCTCGGATTTTGAATTCCAGAAATTTTCTTTCTTTTTTATTTTTACTAATGCAATCAACATTTTTGTGACAGAGTTGCATCCACGGATAATATGAAATGCATAGTCAATCGTGCAATAAGTTTGCGGCAGAGCAAAGCGATGCAAGGGGAGTCGATGGTGTCGGTCTGTCCGTCTGTCCGTGAACACGATAACTGTCAAACGCTTGGATCGATTTGATACAAACTGTGCACAGTTGACCTAGATGCCACAACTAATAAGCCTATTGAAAATGGGTCAAACCAATGACCCCTTGGGCTCACGTCTCTCTGTCTCTGCCAAACGCTTGAACCTATTTAATTCAAACTTTGCACAGTTGACCTATATGCCACATGTAATAAGCTTATTGAAAATGGGTCAAATCGAATGACCGCGTGGGGTCACGCTTCTCTGTCCCTGCCAAACGCTTAAACCTATTCGGTTGAAACTTTGCATAGTAGACATATGTAACAAGTCTATTGAAAATGGGTCAAATCCCCGTAGGGTCACGCCTTTCTTCCTCTGGCAAACGCTTGAAGCTATTCGGTTCAAACTTTGCACAGTTAACATATATACCACATGTAACAAGCCAATTGAAAATGGGTCAAATCCAATGACTCTGTGGGGTCACACCGGGGTGCTCTGCCGCTTTTTTAAACACTCTTTATGGGTTTATTTTATCTGAGATAATATCAGCAGCACAATTTTGCTCCAATCCTAATGGCTGACGAAAACTTATGCGCATCATTTAAAATTCATCTTTTGGGACCCAACTAATATCTTTTCGACAGTGCGGGTGTTCAAGTTCGTCGCATTTTCTCTACACTCGCCACTTTCAATAAAACAATTGTTGTAAGGAGGTATGAACTTTCCTATACCCCATGACGAAAAGTCAGCCTTGGCTATCAAAGCCCCGGCGTGTTTACATTTTCGTTCTAGTTTTTTGTTGATATATATGTATATGGTGATCGAGAAAAATATGGTGTTGGGGTTAAAAAATGCTGGCATTTTTTACACTGAAGAGAAAATATAGCAGATTTTGCAAAAAGCAGATTTTGATACCAAAGTTCATTCTCTTAAATGAAACAGTATTTTTAAAATCCATTTTCGAAATCTATGTCAATTTCTACGCGTAATAAGAATAATTCGAAAATTGATTTTTAAACATACTGTTCCATTAAAAAAAATCAAGTCTGCTTTTTGACGTACCTATCCCGTATATTTTCTCTTTGGTGCAAAAAATACGCAAAAAAATTATGATAGATGTATGCGAGCATTTTTTTAAACTCAACACCTGATTTTTAAATGAAGTTGTCCCATATTTTAGCCGCTCACTGTATAATATCCAGGGTTCTGCAACAATGCGTTTTTTATTATCACGGCCTACTCCAGTACATAAACATCTAATTAATTAATGGGTAGGTACGTTTGTAAAAAGTATTAAATAACCTAAAAACTGCAAGGTTTAGACACAGGGTGTCCCTTATAAAAGTTGAAGAAAATACAAAAGACTATCGAATAACGAAATAAAATAGTGGTAGTTAGAAAAAAAAATAGTTATGGCACTTTGAAATTGGGACATGTCCCATTGTGAACAGGGTGTTCACTAAATCCAACTTTCTCATTATCACAGTGTTTCCTTTTTTTACACGGGTTAATTTGTTACTGAAATTTATTTCTTAACTTCAAAGAACAAGGTCTCTGCGATTCATCAAAGTGAGGCTTGCTTATGGGGAATTATTCAGAAAAAAATTAATACGATGGAAACATTTACAACAAATCAAAAAATGAATAGATTTAAATGTAGAGGGTACCAAATGACATCGGAATAACTAAAAATCTACAAAGTGTTCTATTTTAAAAAATCATTTATTTATTTATACTATAACTACCCTGTACATTCAAAAATAATTTCTATAGATACGCAACCGTCTGTTCCCATTTGACAAAAGGTTTTTTTAATATCTTTTACTCCGTTCAGAAATAATTCCAGAAATACGGCTAAGCTACAGCGAACATTTCAGTAATTGTGTTCAGGGGCGGATTTAGGTAGGGGCTGAAACCCAGGGCCTCCACGCCCTGTGCCGAACACTACAATAGGAATTAATAAAAGAATAACTCCAATAAGATGCTAAATTATCTTTGATTTTCAGACTTTAAAGCGTGAGTGTCATGGGCGCACGATAGTAGGTGTAAATGTAACAGGTACATGCTATCTCTCTCCAACGACAAGTGTAACGAGGAGGTAGGGAGGAAAGAACCGAGAATCTACGTCTACGTCACGAGGCGAAACCTTAAAGCATTTATACACTGTAAGTACCAGTGAGATCGCGGTAATGCGAGGTTCCGTGCAATCCGAGGTCCAAAAGAAAAACAAGATACGAAGAATCGTATACGCTTTCAGTAAGGGAAATTTTTTACACTCGGCTCGCTTTCGGAAACGCAACTTTTAATGCGGCTCATATTCAAAAGCACTGATCCTTGAACTCGTAGAGGGAAGGGACTTCCTCTAAAACACTTGAACTAAGCCAAAAAGCCTTTCTATTTTCATATAATCGCCGTACGCCTACAATATTCTACGCTACTCACCCTAAGGCACCGGGTAACGTGTCGACAATCACTCTGACACTCACAGGCCTAGTTCTAAAAATAGATCAGTGGGTTTTTGTCTGCTGCTGTGTACAGATTGAGCTTCACTGTTTTAGTGATATCTGTGATTTTTGAAATTTGAACCCGAATTACCTCTGATTATTATCTCAATTTCAATATTTTTCATTGTATTCATACTTAGTGCGTTTACCCTACCTGTAATTTTAATAATAACTTTCTGAAGAAATAATAAAAATAGAAATGAAGATGTTGTTCGTTAACAGAATTTCATGTAAGTATAGGGCCCCCTAGAAATATTAGCACAGGGCTCCCTGAGCCCTCGCTCCGCCCATGCTTGTGTTGATAATTATTGTTCTCAAGGGACCCAGAACAAGAGAGGGATAATAAATCAATAAATAAATAAAAATTGCTGTTTTGCTAAATAATCAGAGGTAGGTACTCGTATCCTCCCCGAAAAACCTTTTTTTTTGTATAGGTCCCAATTGAAGGTTTTATCCACTGGAGCACTAAAGGAAGTAGAAACATAAGAAAGAGGTGCCTGTATATTTCCTTTTAATGCTGGGATATACGCTACTAAATTCAGTAAAATGGTGTAAATTATATACAGCCCCAAAATTTTTAAAATTCCAAAAATATATTAAACTGTAATATTCCAACAAAACCAGACAGATCAATATCTACGGTGGTATCCTTCCATGTCGACACACTTCAATTTGTCGTGCTCGGTAAAGTTTGCTCGTAGATACACTTCGGAATAACAAAAGTACAATAGAATGTCTAAGGGAGGAACGTCTTAAGTAATATCTTTGAGGTGTTAAAAAAATTAACAGTGATACACCGATAGTTGAGTTGTTGACTGTATTTATAAATATTTAAACTTTCAAACACTAGACCGATGTCAGCGTGCATTATTGAACGAAATCGCTCTGTCGGCTTTTGCATTATCCAGAAGCTTTTAGGGTGTCAAACCGAGACCGTCAACTCACTGGACACCTTCTCTACAACTATCCTCATTTCTCCCTTCTCTGACTCTCGTCTTAAAATTATATAGGAAAAGAAATGCCAGGTTTGTGATGCAGAAATGACAAACATTGTCGTCCTCCAATCACAGCAAAATACAATTTTCACAGAAGTAAAACTGCGAATACATCTTACTGAATCGACCCCAACTCGTGCAAAATGTATAAACGCAGTTTGCGAAACGGCTTGGTGAATATTCCATTCGGAAAGTAGAAATTCAGAAATTTCGAGCTTTATGTTGTCATTACCGTTATTAATTATAACACATTACAATAAACTATAAGCAACTTTGGCGATTAGAAAGTTGTGGTGTAATTCCCGTGGGCACCTTAGCAACTTGTACCCATGTTAACATGTAGACTATACACTTCAGATTCGGAAGTTTCGAACAATTAGCGCAATTAATTAATAATTTCATGTAACTCAACCTAGTTAACAACAAAGGTCTATGAAATATAACAGTTAATTTATTATGTGCGGAAATTGCGTTATCAAGCCTGGCTATGTAAATCATAATTAAAATATGGCCACAACCACAACTGTGCTGCAGGCGGCGGGCTTTAGTGCTTTGTTAATAATTGAACGTCGGGTGCGATTAGCGAGATACCTGTAGTTAACTTACATTTAACAAGAAAGCGGCAAACTGAAATCATTTCGGTTCAACACAGCATATATATTGCGACCGGTACCCGTACCACACACACTTGATTGCAGTTTTGGAAGTGAAATCTCAGGTCAGGTGCATTATAAAAAAAAAAAGTAAAAAAAAGGCCAAATTGAAAGCAGTACTTTTTATGAGAAATTAAGTAGAAGTGTTAGTCGGCCTCTAATTATTAATTGCTCTTCGTTAATTAAACTTTCAGTTCTGGCGGTTCCGCTTCCTACGTATAAGGGCACTAATTATTTAGTGTGCCCGGGTAGTTTAATTAGGTGGTAATTAAATATGAAAGCGTCATTGTTTCAACACCTCATACTTGCTCGTATATCCCTATCCTCGTCTTCGGCCACCATTTTGTTAGTATAGGTATTAGTTATGATGAGACGCCCGTTATCTTCATTCGCTTTTAGCGATTTTATTCGATAACGATTTTTGGACTCGCTCTTAAAAATTCCTAAATACCTTCTTTGAATAATTATTTGCTAATTAAGGGGATGTT